GCCCACATCCACTACACAGGTACTCCCGCACTCAGAAAAGAACTGATTTGATTGCGAGAAGGATTTAATTCAACAGATTAAATGCAACATTTCCGAAGAAAATGAGAAATTTTTATGAAGCAAAAATAAGCCCTATCGACAGTTTACAGCCTGGTAGTACGCAGACGTATAGCGCTCAGGGCTCAAAACTCCGTTTAGGAAGGGGTTTTAAGCCTGAACGCCTCTATTGGCACCTCTTTCTATACCACTCCATGCAATTTTGTATGTTGTAAATAAGACTTTAATGATTTTTAGGTGATGGGTGATATCTAGCCTCCCTAAGGGCTTCGGAAAATCTTTCCAACTTTATGATTGAGATCTATTTATTTCTGGCTTTGAGAGATGTTAATTTCCACTACAAAGTCATTTTTATTAAGACTAATGTAAAGGATTCAAAATTGAGATGACTGCATTTGGATGGTGTGAAAAGCTTCACATTATGCAGCGCCAGTAGAACCACTGTGCTTTGATTAGTCAGGCGTACGTGATAGAATTCAGATATTGGAATTTTTCTGCCGTTCTGAATCGAGCCATCAGGGCATCAGCTCCTTCCTAAAGGGGAGTTTGAACCCTGAGTGCTATATGTCAGTGTACTGGTGGTATGATCCGGCTGAATGCGGAACAAAAGCGAAATTATAGGAGGTGCTGACGGCCAGGGCTGAAACACTGTCTCGCGGATGAAGACCCCAATCTGTTCGAAACTACTATAAACCAGACAGGGGTTCACTGATCCACTTTCAGTACCCACTTGTGGGGATGACAACCCCTGATTTCCAAATTCGAATTGACTTGCAAGAAGTTCCTCGAAGTAACATGGTATATTAAAAGGTGCCGGTCCATCAATAGGCATGGCAAACAAACAGCAACACCGACCACTCCCAACATGCGTGGGAATTTCATTCTTTCTTTGCTTTCTGCGGCGCTGGGCGCCAGCGCTGCTGTTTCTCAGTCTAACCTCAAGGCCCATGTCGATGTGCTGGCACTCGACTACGCCTTCAATCCTGTGAAGGCGGCGTACTGGACTGGATATCCTCATCACCGCCGTACTCCTTTTGCGGTGTCGCCGGATGGGAAATCAGCCTACATTGCCTATCTTGACTCTAGTGCCACAGACGTTCATGTACAGCAGCTGGACCCTACTACTTTTGCTGCTACTGGCACGACTGTCACCGTCTCTGGTGGAAAAGAAGGTGTGTCGCCCATTCAAATATAGCCCAAAGAAAATGCGGATCCACTAATACGTATAACATAGCTGGAGGTCTTGTGGCACACAATGATGGATTTGCCCTTCTTACCAACGAAGCATTGCCTTCTGGCACCACCAATGCACCTCCGAGTGGGACCCCTGTTCCCGTGCTCTACCGCTACACCTCTGGAAAGCAGACATGGAAGACCTGGCTGGGTGGACCTGGTGTGCACGAGTCCGAAGGACTTTCTGCCTCTCCCGATTTGAATGGAGATCTCGTCTACTCTGAGAGTGCACAGCTTTACGGCGCATATTTTGTCGTGACTGATTATACTGGTGACGCTTCCGGCCATTTTGGTGACAGTGTCGAGTACATCTCCGCTAGCGGAAAATTGGAATCAATTGCTGGCGCTAGCAGTGCATGGGGCTGCAGCCACAACACCGGCATTGCATTCGAAGCAGCTGACGACGCTCCTTTCGCGGGTATTTGCGCCGAAGACCAGGGTGCCATCTGGTTAAATACGAAAACCCAAGGAATGTCAACCGATGGAATTAAAATCTCCAACGAGAACACTACTAACGGTGCGTCTGGTGAGCCCATGGGTGGCATGTCTGGCAGCTACAGTGTGTTGGCTCGGTTTGCCGATACCACGAAGTATATCTTCGCCTGGGTTTCTCGCGGCGCAATCGATGTGACGGAGAACGCGTGGATGGGAACCGGCTATACGAACGTGCAGAATCGCACCAACGGCCGCAATGTTGCCATTTCTCTTTTCTCTGACAAGTATACCAAGGTTGGTGCCCAGGCCACATCGGATGTGGGTGTTGAGGATGGAGACAGCCAGGTCAATTGGGTGACCTCAGGATCGAACGATTGCTCAAATGCTCACGCTGCTACCTTTGGAAATAACAATGCCCTCGTCACCTGGGAGGAGATTTCGAACCCGACTTGTGACTTCATTGCCATGGGATGCCGTGGTATCTTTGCTGGAACCTACTTCCAGCAAGTTGACTCCACCGGTTCGAAGGTTGGAGAGCCTTTCAGCGCTAACGATGTTTACGTTGCCGGTGACATGGTCACCATGTCAGATGGTAGAATCTGCTGGCCCTATGTCAACATGATTTGGGACCTCTCACAGCCCATTGATGACTCCTCGTCCTCTGGGGCTGTCAAGAAGATGAGCATCGCTTGCATGGCACTCGATGGTGCAACCGGTTTCTCCACGACCGCCGCTACTAGCGCCACAAGCAGTTCGACCGCAAAGGTCGCCGTTAACAAGAGTGCGAGTGCAGTCACTAAGGCCGTCTCAAGTGCGACCACGATTCAACCACAAAGCAATACCTCTGGAGCCACTTCAAGCGCAGCCACCATTGACGCCACAAGCCAAACCACTAAAGCCGTTTCAAGCGCAACCACCATTGACGCCACTAGCCAGACAACCAAAGCTGTAGCCGAGGCGTCAAATGGCGGTGTCGCCGCGATCGGAGGGGGATCTGGGAACGCATCGAGCAGTTCTGTGATAGAAATTCCAATGGCTGCCACTAGCGCCACCGCAAGTGCAATCCCTAGCAGCAGTCCTACTAGAATTGCCAGTGCAACCCCCAGCGGCACTCCGACTGGAATTGCCAGGGGCCACGGACGGAAACATGGCCACGGCTGGGGTCACCATGGCACGGAACACCACAGTTCGGGTCACCATAGCTCGAGATTCGATGAGGTCCCTGAGAGCGAGCGCCAGCTCGGTGGAGCTTGCAAGTCGCAGTAGATTGCGCCGTTTACCACTAGAAATCCGAATCTAGCTATCTTTCAATTCTTGCATGTCAACTTCATGGTCTTGCACGAACGACGTCTTTAGGATGAGAAGAACCACGAGCACACTTTTAATCAAGTTGATTGGGTATATCTCCCGCTGGCTATAAATTTCAATGAGCTATTTTTGAGAAAAAAAAAACTCTTTTTTCCCAGATTTAATTTATGTTCTATCTCGCTGTAAAGGATGAAGTTCCTTATAACTAGACTGCGACATCGTCCGTCCATGGGCACTAGGAAGTGTCCACGACTCATGGGCCTTTTAAAATGTTACGCCTATCGCCCACTGTTGTGTAATAATAATGCAAAAATTACCCTATCAGGCTATTTTGTGTATATAATCGGTTCTTGGCAGTATCCACTTTCCTGAGAGAGCCTATTTATATCTTGGCGACGGCAAAAGTGTCTCCACTTTAGTAGGTGTTATCGCAGTCTACTTGTAACCTAAGAATAGGGTTTATATAATAGTGATCCATTAGCCGAATATATGTTGTAGGCATATAACCGTACCAAGCGCCCAACCACCCATCCTAGGTAGTTGGTGTGCCCCACCAAACGCAAAATTTTCAATTTTCAATTTTCAATTTTCAATTTTTAGGGC